ATGTCTAATGACCATGGAGGTGTGTTAAGTTGTTTTGAAAATCGGTAAAACAACCAATCTTCACTTTTTTTGCGGTATGTTTTGGGTCTTTTTCAAAAATAAATAAATTTTCAATATCTATTTTTTTAGCACTTGTATGTAAGTTATTTCTTAAAATGTTTAAATAAATATACCATCGATAAATTTCAGATTACCAACATCAGCAGCGCTCATACAGCCCCAAATGAATAGAAAAAATACATCGCCACCCTCATGCCTTAACATCCAGCACTAATTTTGCAATCCATATGCTAGTGTTTTCCGCACCATACACAATTTTTTCTGAACCAAAAATATTAAGCTTGCTTTCATCATTAAATAATAGATTTCCAAAAATAATTTCTCCTATTGATGTATAGCTTTACAAAATCTAAACCTTCCTTTTTATTAATTTAAACGATGAACAGTCTTTTCCTAGCTACATAACCTTCATGTCTTGCACTTTTAATAATATTATGAATGATCAATGGCACAAATTTATTATAGTTGATATTAATAATACCAGCCAGTTTGGGTGCACTGATTTTTGGTTTCATCATAATTTTCCTTAGAATGACCCTCTTTTGATGTGATTTTAACTTTTGAGGATAACCCATGCATTTTCGATCTTTATAAGAACCAGTTTCATTGTATCGTATGTACATATTTTACAGTCGGGTCCGATTTATTTATTGTCTATACAAAATCTTTGAGGGAATCACCAAATTCTCTTAATTGAATTACTAATTTACGAATAGCACTAACTAACTCCATTTTTCAACGTATGTAAATTAAATAAAATGTGCGTGAACAAATATCAATCATCCTTAATGATTAGAAAAATACAGGTGACATTTTCGCTAATATGTTCATACAAGTTTTTCCTATTTCAATTGTATTTCTATCTATTATTTATACACATCGATAAATGTGCGGAGACTTTTATGCTTTTATTTTTATAATAATATTTATGTATATACATATATAAAATAAACTTAATTATGTACATGTTTTATTTTTCTAAAAACGAAATTTAACATGTTTCTGAATAAATATTTGTTAAAAATATGAAATTATTCAAATTTTGAATTACCATTATATTTTATTGAAATAATCTGACAACAGTGTACGAAGACTTTTTTGATCCACTATATATACTTAAAATAAAGAATAGATTAAAAATGCCTTGACGAGCCTCTCTTTTAAACTTACAGATATATAAAAAAAAAACTTTACTAACTATAATTAAACTAAATAATAACCTTAACTAAAGTAAATTAAAATTATTACATTATATTCAACAAATTATATGTAACTCCTTCCTGTAATGATGTGCATCATTCAAGATTGTCACATTTTAAAAATGAATGATTAACAGCTATTTCGGCAAACACACAAAAAACAAATATAAAGTAACCAATTAATAAAATCCAAATCTTACATACACCACTGTCAACTTAGGACAACCATCAAAGGAGACCGCGTTTGATCAAAAGGACTATGTCGCTATACTCTCTTATACAACACTTCCATTATACCCTCTAGAGACACAAACTAATTGAAATTATTATGGGGAGGGGGGGGGGGGGGGGGTAAAACAAAAGTATTCAATTTTGAAAAAAAAAATTGTTCGCATAATATAGAATTATGTAATATAAGTGTAATAATGTATACTTATTATTATGTCTGAAAATGTATCAAGTATCGATCAATTGCCCACCCACCTCTCAAATTAAGAAGGACAAGTACCCTCCAGCTCTCCTAGATTTTCATCATAGAGACCCTTCAAGAAACACTTGGGTACAAGTCATGACTGCATTCACACTAACTGCCGAGGTCCTCCATTGTAAGGCGTAACTGCATGCATATCAATTGTCAAGCAACTCACAACTAATTTTAAAAAAAAAAGGTCTTTATCAGTATGTATATGGACTTGATCGATTTCATTACTCCAATGCAACCAGGCACGGATCTAGAACTCAAATTGGGGGGGTCATTTTTTCGAAAGTACAAAAAGATAATACACAATTACAAAATAATAAAAATAAATTATTAATTCAAATTAGAACGTTATGAATATATAAAATTGTTAATTTTTAAAATTAAATAACAAAGTTTAATCTTTTTGTTTTATTTTTCCAAATTTAGAAATAATATTATCGACATTTATGAGTATATTCTTGTGAATATTGAGCAAAGCGCTCCTTTCCCATTTTTAAATGAAGCCATGTCTTAAGACGCCTGAGAGTAGAGAATGATTGCATTTATAGTATTTTTTAACAAGTTATTAGAAACTAAATTGGCGATTAGCGGTACTATAGCAGGTATGTGGTAACTATAATATTATATTAACATACGGGTAACGGATTGGAAATAACCGAATTGGTTCCTGTTTGTATACAGGTTGGCGAGCCAGTGCATAGAGAGCAAAAAACCAAATTTTAAAAGCTATATGTATGACATATAAACATAATTATTACATCGATAAGATAGAATCTATCTATCTATAGATATATAATTATAATATGCTGTATAACATTTTTATTGCAAAAAAAAAATCTAATTAAAAAAAAATTAAAAACGCAATTTATGCATATTTTAATTTTTAAATAAACACGAAAGACCTAATTTTGATGTTTTTCTGGGGGGGGGGGTCATGACCCCCCTGTATCCGCGCCTGAATGCAAAGCAATTACATCTAAACACAAATTCTGTACGAGTATTGAAAAGTCTCATTTAATCCAGCGTCTGTATTACTTCATTTCAACCTCACGCTATTCTTGTATTAATCATAATAATCCGACCCATTGACACTCGAAGATTATCAACGAACCAAGTAAGTGTTATTTTATTTTGTTAACTTATCAGTTGCACTCATCTGCTTTTGAACCTTAATAATCCCGAATCATAAACAAGGAGGAAGGTAAATAACCCACATCATATCTACTATCATTCCCACCATCTTTTAACTTTTTTCTTTTTCTTAGATCATTATATTCCCAATGCTAATTTTGAATTAAAAATGCATTAAACACTGTGTAATATACTTATCTATAACCAGTAAAACTAATATACAAACTATATTTAGACCAATAGACCAATCAAACAAATAATAAAAAATAATAATAATATAAATAATGGATACAATCTATAGAAGACAGAACTTACTTAAATAAAAACTTTTAAATATTAAATATTTTTTTATAATATGTAATATAATTATTATAGAGCATTACTTAAAATATTACACAATATCATAAATCTTAATAATTATAACAAAAAGAGAATTAATGTCATAATACATCCGATGATAGGAAAGGTCAAGCGGCTTAATGAATGTTTTATTTATAATTGTTCCTAGTAGGTTACATTCTAAATCTCTTTAAATAACCATAACCAACAAGATTCAGTATCTACAACATTAATCAACATTTGTCTAATTAACTACAATGAGAGAAATTTTATTTTTAAACAATACATAAGAATCTAATTATGTTAAAACTAACATCAAGTATTTTAATAAATTTAATGATAAATTGTATTTTGTAGTAAAATATAATATATAATAAACGAAAAATAAATTATTTTAATATTTAAGAAAAATATAACCTATTTATTTTAATTACTCCCCAACTAAATACTAGAGTAATTTATTTAGAAGAAGATTAACATCAAAGTTTTAGTAAATATATGTCCTAATATCATTGAAATTAAGTGTTGTATTTACATTTATAAAAACATAAGAAGTAAAAAAAAAAAATATTTTTATCAGAAATAAAATATTGTTATTATATTTATACCTTTAAGCAAAAATGAGTAACTCAAAGTACCGTAGTATTAAAGTAGAGTTCTAATATACAAGATGAAAAATATTGAAATTGGTCTTTATACTAAAAATATTTATACTACACAATACCAACAATTCTATAATAAAATTTAAGACTTAAATAAACACAAGTGCATAAGGTATGTATAAGTAAAATGTAAATAGTTATATACATATAGTTATCAAATTTATGTAAACATAATATAAAACTATACAGCATTTATTAAATGTATGGTAAAATATTCATGATGAGGTAATCCAATTATTAATCCTATAACAAAAAAACTTTCTTACCTCAAATAATTCATGCGCAAAAACAGATACACAGATCGCTCCTCTTCGGCGCAATGCATATTGTGGTACAATAATGTCCAATGGTAGTTTAGGAACCATTTTAATAAAATGCATTAAACCTATAAAACAAAAAGATTGAGCTCAAATTTAAACTAGCTTCTGATTAATGTAATACAATGAAATTCAAGAGTGGATAAGATAATAAGAAATATTTAAACCTACACAGAATTCTAACTTCTTGAAAAAATATAAAACATTTTATTAACTTGTTGGGACTGCTGGTAACTTTGGAACAAGAAAGATGTCACTAAGTCTATTTCATGGACTGGGATCAAAGGAAGTAAATGAAAACTGAACAGGTGCTATTTGAATCGTAAGACATACCTTGTAAATAAATTAAGTGTAAAAAGGGTATCTTCAATTGGATTACATTAATAATAAATCAATATTTTTGGTTTAATCTTCACGATCGCCAGTGAACTATGATAACGATTATTCTTGTTGTTATTCGGTTAATTATTACAAAATCCATCAACGATATTCGTGAGATTTTTTAATGTTATTAAAAAATAACAAGTAAAAAACTCACTCCGTTAAAATGCCAGATTCGAACCCAGACAACGTTCGGATAATAATTTTGCTTACTACTTAAATAATAATAATAATAATAATAATAATAACAATAATAACAACAGAACACAGCATTACATAGGTAAATTTTAAATGTTATTTACAATAATGATAATAAAACAATATATAATACCAGATATCGTACTGGACCGCTATCACCTCGGTATTCGCAGGAGGATAAGTTGGCCCCGCGGGAATTACGTATCCAGTGCATCAAGCACACTGTTCGTCGTTATCAAACCAACGTCTTATCTGCAGAGGTGGTGGCTTGCTGAGTGTTGTTTGAATAAAAAAATGAGGTTTGATTTGTTACCCATTTATTTGTTTCGTCCGATTTTGTTTCCGTTTTCCCGTAACTACTGAACGTTCGGACCTCGCTGGTGAATTGTAAAAATTCCAACGACACCGATATGGTCACCAACTGACTTCGCAAGTCTGACGCAGTGACGATTTCCGGACGTCCGACTCTCAAATAATGTTTCCCGGGTGCACGAGTCCCTTGAATTTCACTGGCTGGTAAGTGAACGATCTCGATAATGTTTAAATATAACATACTGTTTCATGATACCGTTATTGTGTAACCTATGAGTTTTCGTTAAATGGTGCTAAAATCTTAACACTACACAATTTGTGTATTGAATAATCAACTAAATAATTATTAGTAGATAAGGGAAAAATTGATTTACCCTCTTGTAATTTAAATTAAAATGATATTATTTTAAACGTTATTGTGAGTATTGGCAAATACTGACGTCTCTACAAGGCTTACATTCCTGAAACCAATTTCTACTGAAAGTACCATCAAAAGTATTTTTTGATAAACTGTAATAAACAAATAAGTCTCTAAAAAAAAAAAAAATATATATATATATAACATATTTTTGCTTACAATCATAGGTCATAGTCTTATAAATGTGTTTTTTGTTGTATTATAAATGGAAAAAAAAAACAATTATTCTAGGTAGTCATTCATCATGTTCTGTATTAATATTAAAATAATTTATAAGAACAAATACTCTATGTATATAATAACAACAAATTCTGTACTATATCAATAATTTACACCTACCTATTTATCATATATATATATATATATATATATATATATATATATATATATATATATATTTCAAAATTTAGTATCATTTGGATAGACATTGAAGTACTTATGTTATCTTATTTTAAACTTCTTTTTTTCTTTTTCATAATTAAATATGAAATAAAGGACTGAAGTTTTTATCTTGTATTTATTATGAACTAAACAAACTTAGAAACATATTAAAACTTCATAATTTATTTTTATTAAAGAATTATATAGTTGAATGTTTATACTGAAATCTCTATTAGGTCAAGGGTATAAAAAGTTTAAACTTATAGTTTTAATATTAATACATTTTAAATGTTATGTGATAAAAGTATTATTGAAAAATAAGTCTGTGATTTCAAACAAATCAATTTAATATATTAATTTCATTTGATGTTATTTTATATAGCTATATTAATTATTGATCTAATTTATTAGATATTGTGTGTTAATTACTGCTTTGAAAAAAAAATTAATTATATATAGCAAATTATAATATGATTTGCAATGTTTAAAAATGTATTCATTATTATTAACAGTTATCAGTTTATTCTCTATTGGCTATATGTTATTGATGTATTATAATAATATTTATGTCTATGGACAAATAAAATTCTCTTTTACCAGGGCACCTTATATTCTTCTGTAACTACACCTTTATTGAACATTGCTCAAATGAGTATAACAACTTACCAATTTATAAATAATACATATTTATGTTTTTTCATTAAACATATTTTTACTTAATTAAGTTAAAAATTCAATAGTTATTATTCAACTTTTTATTTAATAGTTATATATATTTTACCATTTTTTATATATTTATGTGGTGAAGTGTTTATATATATATATATACTGTTGGACTATACTTTTAATTTTTTAATTTAATTTATATTATTTTGGTTTTAATTGTTTCAGACACAATATACCTAATAAGAAATTAGGTTCTAACTTACTTATAGTATAAAAGTAACTCAATTATAAAAATAATTAGTTATAATTTTAAAATACCCTTTAAAAAATGATGGGTATCAACAAACCAAAGCCTATTAATCCAGATACTCCATTAACGCTTATAAAAGATGTCCAAAACAATATGAACAATATAACTGTTATGTGCATAGTATTAGAAGTGAATCCTGCTGTCCCGCTCAAAGACAATCATGAAGTTCGTACAGTTAAAGTTGCAGATAGTTCAGCTTGCATCAATTTTTCTGTCTGGGATGAACCTGGTTCATTTTTATACCCAGGGGATATAATAAGAGTTCACAGAGCTTACGCAATTTACTTCAGAAACTGCCTTACTCTTTATGTTGGTAAAAATGGAGAAATTGAAAAAATTGGTGATTTTATTATGACTTTTAATGAATCTGTTAATATGAGTGAAGTAAACTTAAATGCACCTCCACCACTTCCACCTCCAGGAGCAAATGGAAATACACTTGGTAATGTGAGACGAACTGGAATGGGAAAACAGAATGTAAAACCAAACGCATTCAAAGGTAACAATGGAAAAAATGGACCTAGAAGTCAAATGAGGCCAGAAAGAAAATAACATAATACTGATTGAAATGGTTATACTATTGTATTTTGAGTTGGTGAAAAAATTCTGTGATAATAACTCATTTTTGACCCTATTTTAATATTCAAGTTTTATATTAAGGTATAATTAACTATGTACACCATCGTTTTTTAAAAAGAAAAATGAAAATAATATATATATATATATATCTATATATAGATTTGTATGTGTATTTATTTATTTCCTATTGATAATAATTTTATTATCAAACTATTTTTATGTATGAAAATAAGTTTATGGCATCTAATGTATTCTATAATTTCAATAGTATAGATTTTAATGTTATTAAACACTATGCATAGCTACCTACATTTAACTTTAATTTAAATTAATTCCATTTCAATGCCACTTATTAATTCTATTAAATATTTGTGTGAATTTTATTAAATTAGCATATTATTAAAATATGAACTCCAATACATTAAGTAAAATTGGTACTAGAACACAATATGTATTATATCCAATACCAGTTCTAATAGGATACACAGTGCTGGTTTTCTATCATACTGACACCATTTTATAAACAAAAAATTTTAGTCCTAACTGAATTTTACTGAAATATTTTTTATTATTTTATTTATTATATAAGTACCCTTAAACAGCCAACTTGGAGCAAAAATATTATGTTAATTCTACCTCCATAACGGTATTTTATAAATTAATTAATGTAATACAAATATTCTGTAGTTATCTTAACAATATTTAAAATCACTTTGGTAGTATTGCAGCATCAAATTATAAACACAATTCTGAAAACTTACTCCAATACTCATTGAATGAAACGTTTTACATACAAAATATGTTCAGATGTGTGTTAAATTTACTATTCTATATTATAAATTATTATAATCCAGCATATATTTAAGTAAATCACGTTTTACTTATTTAGTCTAACTTGGGCCACTGTTATTCAACCATGGTTCAAGTTTTACCTTAGATAAATTTAAACAAATTTATTTCGTTAAAACAAAACTAATTTTGTACAATTTAGTTTAAATACTACCTATAATTATATTTTTAATGGTGTAGAGATAGGTAAATGTCGGATATTATTTATTACCTGACAAGAATTTTATTATTCTTTTTTCATTTTTTAATGTTATTTACAAATTATCAGTTTATTTAATTGGTTAACAAGAATACTTTTATTTTTTTGTGTATGTCAACTCTCCAAGTACAAAATATATTTGATAAATTCAGAAAATTGTCTAATATTTTTTAAAAATTTAAAATAATTTCCCTAATTCGTTTAAGTAAAAGATAAAATAAATTTTTCATAATAAAAACATGAATGCCCCATGTTATCGAAATTTAATACAACATGGGGCAAGTAGAAAAATAAAAAAAATCTTAGATGGAATAATTTGTTTGGTTCAAATGCAACATAAATCAATGAATCAAACCTTAACTAAAAAAAAAAAAATATTACATCGAAAATACGTTAAAAATTACGTTATTAATTAACCGTAAAGTTATTTATAATAGAATTTCAAAACTGTCAAAAATTCGACCGTTTGACAATACATAATTTATATTCAAATAAAATATAATATTTTTAAACCATATTGTAGTTATAATATAAATATTCTTATTACTGTAATAAGAATTTGTTAAAACTGCGAGGACTACTAATAAGTGCAGACGTATTTGAGAACATTTCAAAGGAGTACAAAATATAATACTGATCTAACTTTTAATGAATAATCCATTATTGATATTATTATTAATTAGTTATTTAGTATAATATATCACAAGTTAAATTTATTTTTGCTAAATGCTGCTGCATTATTCCTCAGTATTAAAATTGAGAAAATTAATTTATATCGTTCGTTCGGAAACTGTAATCTTCATACAATTCGGTCCACCTACATCGCAATACCAACCAGTAACACACCGATTAAGATATTTTCTTCCATTCACTCGATGTATATATCTTCTACTGGATATGCGGTTTCTATATATTTCTGATAGAATCTTTGAAAAGCACGTCTAGAAAACGAATAGGGTGTTTATTTTTATAATTTTGGAACTAATAAAATAAGAGAAAAATCCTTTACCCAATTGCTTCCGCCACTGGTCTTGAAGATTCGTTGGCTTTAAACACATGACACGCAAATCTTTGGCACGTCGGATGTTTGGTAACAAAACCCAGGTATCGGTTGTCTTCCGGGTAGAACGCACAAAACGATACGTTTTTTAAAGAATAAAAATAATCTTGACACGGTGTACTTGAATTTCTAGTCTGCTAAATTGAAAATATGTATATTATGTTTAACATATTTTTTAAGTCTTTATTAATGAGTAACCATTAAGGCAAGGGGCTTCTGTAATTCATATAATATTAAATTAAAAGACTGCAAGATTAATCAGTCGATTTACGAATTTTCTTCAATCATTAAAACTAATTATTAAAATAAAAATTAGTAATTAATTTTCAAAATGACTACGAACTATTAGATGCTTTAATTTCAAAAGAAGATCGTTCACATGGGTTTCATTTTAATACAGTTCACTACTCACCATCGTAGAAGATTTGGCACGATCGACCATTCGAAGTCCTTGGTCTGATACCTCTAGAATACATGATTGTGGTTTGCAATTAGGCCGCTCGGTCATCTTGCGTATAGCTTGACACAACACAGTATTGCCTTTGTGCCATATGGTTTCTACCGAACCCATGTATCCCAGCAGAAATCGTTCCCGTTTCACCTTAGGTGTCACGGAGTCGAATTCCGTGTACTCTACGTCTACCGCGTACGCGGAAGGAAATACTCCTTGGGTTCCGGTGCGAAGGTTTACGCCTGAAAACCCGTTAATATACATAAATTTGCGAATTTTAAGGTGTCAGTCAGAATTCTCGTCATGAATACTATGTACCTTCACACCAACAGTCTTCTGCTTCTTTTTGCACGTAAATTGGATCACCAACGTCTACTTCCATCTCGTCTCGATGTCGAGGTACAAACTTATACAATCCTCTGTGCGTTGCTTCTAAGAGTTCTAGTTGAGATAGCGGAAGACCTGAGGAACACGAAGATGCCGGAGTTGGGGTATCTATGAGTACAAATAAGACCAATTGAATCGATAAGTTTACGTTAGGAAATTAAGCGTTTTTTCTTTGAACACTAAGTTACCGATTTGTTGTGGTGAACCAGATTTGGCACTTTCCGGTGAATGGACTAATGATATACCAGAATCTGGAGACCGGCATTCGGAATCTCGAATGTAGGACACAAACGATTTCCTTCTGTCTGGCGAAAATACTTCTCCTAATTCATCAGCTAAGCTTAACGTTGAACCTGCTTCGCATGTTTTAAAAATACTCGTTTGTAACTAAATATATTTATCATAACTTTATCAAAAATGAAATACCTATTTTATTTATTTTTAAGTGGTTTATCTAAAATTCTAAAATAAGTTAAAAGGTTCATAATAATTTAATTATTTTAACTAGTTTTGAGTTAGTTTAAAGTAACCATGAATTAATTCGACAATGAAGATTTCTTCTTCTTCGTCTAGCTCTTAATACTATATAAGAGTATTTAGCGCCAACACTAAATCCCTCCATTTTTCTCGGTTCTGAGCTAATTCTCTCCAATCATGAGCACTCGTTCAAGCAAGGTTTCCATCCACTACATCCAACCCTATTTTTATCGGTCACCCTCAAGGCCTTTTTCCCAGAGATTCCACTCCAGAAATACTCGTCCTCAATTCTTGGCCACGTGTACCCTAACCTAACCATTAATGAAAAACTTGATTTATTTAAGAAATTATAAAATTGTTTGTGAACAATGCATGTAAAAAATATGTTCTAATAAAAAATTAATGAAGTACAACTGAGGGTTTATCCTTCGTAACTTCACTCGTCAAACAGAAAACTGATGTTGGTCGTTTAGAAAATGCAAATATTTCAAACCTTGTGTGAAGTTACTATCATTATTTTTTTTAACTAGGTATATTAAACTAAATAGGTATTAGCTAAATTTAATTTCCTATTGACTCGTTAACATGAAAACGTTTGAAAATTATTTATGCCTATTAAAATTAGCTCACAGACTAAAATAATAATAATTATCCATGGCTATATTATAAATATATTTGGTTCAATATTAATATAAAAATTAAATAAATATTTTACTTCTATTTTTTGGTAACTCCGGCAATTTTCTCCTTCGTTTTTCATGTCGCAAACGCACAGTTTGACTGAAATACATATTAATATTAAGCCTCTATAATATATATTTTTGTTTAAATTAGTATCCTACTTGTTCTTTGGTTCAATTTGATCTTCATTTGATGTGGAAAACACATTAAAAGTATTATTAGTGTCAACATTCTTATTGACAATAGCTTCAGATGATGATTCTTCGTCTGATAACACATCATGAACTAAACTAAAATGGTTAACATAGTTCTATATTAAAACTTTTGGAGAAATTTAATTTTTTTTTGCATAATAATTAAAATTAAATGTATTATTAATTAAAATACATCATTATGTATAAAAGTTATCTAAGTATTATTATTAAATAATTATATAAAAAAGAAAACCACATAGAAATAGTAAAGTAGAAACATTTTGTCATGGCGTAATTTCTGAAAAAATAATGTATCCTTTATATATACATCTACCCGATAAAAGTACCAAATAAAGTTACTATAAAATTTAAAATTTATGTTTCACAATATTGTCGTGGTAAATGTATTATTATATTTCTAAAATAATTTATATGAATAAACTTTTAAATAGCAATAAAACAAAAATGTCTGTTGTAATATTTTAGAAGTTTGAAATTATTGTTTACCAAAACAAATAAAACACATGCTTTTACTACATATAATTATCAACATAGGTACATCTGTAATATAAAAAAACAACAATAGAAATTAAAAGTCCTTTTGTAAATATATTATATAGTTTATTAGCATTTTTATAGTTTTTTAGTTTTTTGGGAGAGTAAGGGAGGACATGTTTGATATTAATGTATTGCCATGCGTGTTTAAATTTTGGTGAAAACGTTTATACATTATTTTGGCTAGTTCAATAGTAGTTATTATTTTTAAGTCGTTGTGCAAGGTAGAGTTTGAAACGTACCAAGGGGGCTTTGGTTACTAATCTTAGCGCAATTGATTGAAAATGCCTATCCCTAAAATTAATACTTATTATTTGTCGTATTGACTCACGTGTCGCGCGTTTCACTGACCAAATGTGTATACTATCTTCGTGAGTGTAATTATGGTAACTAAAGTAATTTATATTCACCATGGGTAACATAGTACAGAAGATAAAAATTAACAATAATTTGTTAAGTATGTGTTTATCTAAACATTTTATAAAAAGCAAACATTTGGTCTAGTGACCAATATGGCCTGTAAATTATTATCCACTATGATTTACTCTATTTCCAAAAAATATCGTGTACAAAACACCGTTAATTTTTAATTTAATAAGATGCTACTAGCTACCTCTCCTAGTTTTTCCTACTTATACTACTGCATGACCTATTTTCTCTAGTTACTCACCCTGGGTTTATAGGGCGGTAATATTTTTATCATTCATAGTTAAATGCCTGTAATTAAACAGTAGGGATAGGATAGAATCTTAGGTTACGACTTTAGAACATAAACTTTAGAATCTAGGGCAAACCATTAAAATTAGGGCCTCCTATATCTTGATGTGTTTTTTTTATTTTTTGTTCTTTATACATCTCTGTATGATTTCCATTGTTCAGCTGTGATTTTACTTAACGATATTAACGAAACTTATCAATTAATATATATAATAAAATTAATAGCTGCTATATTATTAAACACGGCGCTATTATATAAACGTGCTTATGATCGAAGATTATCCCTTGAACAGGGCCGTATTCAGTGCAGGACAAGTGGGCATGGGCCAGGGGCGCAAATTTCAACAATACTTATGTAATATTTTTCACGAAATATGAAAAAAATGTAGTTAAAACAATTTCATTTGATAATGTCATTGATGAATTCGCCTCTATAAAAACAAGAAAAGTACCATTGTTATATTGTATTAAATAAATTTAAAATCATCTAATACAATTGTAAAATAAAAACATTTGAAGAAAATTACATGTTTTTATAATGTATTGAATGTTTATATTTTAAAATAATGCAAATAGTTATTAAAGTTTATTAGTAATTATTACCTTTCATACTATGTTTTTATACATGCTTTATATATCTCAAATAATTTTTTGTAAAAAAAATGTAAATTTCCCATTGGGGGGGGGATATTATATTATTATATTATATTGGGCAAATACAGTGATTCGCCTGGAGCGCCACCAGACCGCAATACGGCCCTGCTCTTGAAAGCGCATTTTTTATAGATACTACTCAGGAGTTTGAGATAGTGGGGCGTATTTAGACCTGAATATAGGGAGAATGATCTTAAATTTACAAACCGAATGACCTGAATAAGTGGTGTCAGAAAAAATTTAATCTTCCCAAATATTTCGGGGAAAGTACGATTCTACCCTGGGGTGGTTTGTCTTAGCTGTTCATAGGCGTGTAGGTAGTCTATTGTATATGTCAATAATGTTATTACTACGGTTTCGCGTACTTACGTATATGTCTGTGCGGACGCCCTCAGATGTTGGGGTAAGGATTCGAATATTTGTCGGAACTCTTCGAACTCGTAATCGGCCATGACGTGGTGTACGCGGCGAGCATACGATAAATGTCTGCTCGCGGTGTCGCGCGTTGGCCGATTGTCCGATTTTTCGCCGTTTATTCCAAACGCGGCATCATTACCTTCAACACCCTCGAAGATACTCGTGAACAGGCAGCGCGCTCGATCACACACATTGCACACGCGCGCGCGAGTATGGTCGTCCCGTATATTATTGATTATTATTACTTCCACCCCACGGTCGTATCCCCATGTCGCATCCGCCACCATAAAGTTAGGCCCGCTCGGCCGTAGGCACTTGCACAGAACCTGCAGCAATAATAACAATACTATCAACCATTGTTACAAGTATGTAATACGAAAAACGTTTTGCTCACGCATTTCGTTTCGTGTGGATTTTATCCCCCGCGAAACAGCCGAAACGTCCGGTATTCGCTGTGCGATAGATACCCCTCACCGAACATTGCGCTTTGGGAACCAACTGTTACGTATAGCGCTTGTAATGTTGAAAACCCCTGTACCGTTATCTCGCGTCCACCAAACGTTTGATAAGCGTAGATAACCGATAACGCGCCCGTTCGTATCACTCGTCTTAACGTCTCGCACACCATAATAATTTACTACTTGCGGATTTGTAATCGCCCAACGTATCTTGTCGGCTCTTATGATTTTACTTTTCCGGTGTTTATTCCGTTTCTGCGTCTATTTCATCATCCGTTGAACGAATCCTTCAGAAAAAATGGCTGCCAAAAGTTATATTCTGGACAACGGAGCTTACACTGCCAAAGTCGGCCACACGGACGACGAAACACCTAAGTAAGCTGCCCACTCCCCCCCCCCCAACGGGGACAGATCGCAACGCGCGAGCGTTCGACAACGGTTCAAGTATACTATATATTTTTCAGAATTATACCCAATTACATTATGAAAGCAAAAAGTGAACGGCGAAGGACTTTTATTGGCGATCAGCTATCTGAATGCAGGGATAAGTCTGGATTGTACTTTATGTTGGGCTATCAAAAAGTATAGTTCTTGAACAAAAAACTTATTTTTCTATAAACTGTTGTTGTATATACTGTTTTTTCAAAGTTGATACTTTTTCATTAAGTTTTACTACATTCGTATACTATTTCTATCATTAATATTACACAATATTAGATATCTCATTTTAAGATTCACTTTTACTGTACTTTTAGGGTTATCTATTAAATTGGGATATTCAAAAAACAGTATGGGATTATATATTTAGTAAAGATTGTTGCAAAGCCAACTTTTCTGAAATGCCACTTATTGTGACTGAACCATACTTCAATTTTAGTACAATTCAAGAAGGAATGACTGAAATTTTTTTTGAAGAATACGAATTTCAAGCTTTATTGCGTACCAATGGTAAATTACCTTAATTCATTAAGTAAAACACATTTTTGTTTAACATTTGAATTTCTTTAGCTGGAAATCTATCTTGCTACCATTACCATCATAATAATCCATCAACTAAGTGTTGTTTAGTCGTTGAGTCTGGCTACAGTTTTACACATATTGTACCATATATCTTACAAAAGAAGTACAAACCTGGGATGTTGCGCATTAATATTGGTGGTAAAATTCTTACTAATCACTTGAAAGAAGTAATTTCATACAGACAGTTGCACGTTATGGAAGAAACATATGTTATGAACCAATGCAAGGAAGATTTGTGTTTTGTATCAACTGATTTTGATCAAGACCATAAAATTGCAAAAATGAAATGGCCAAAAAACACTATTGTCAAGGATTATATTTTACCTGATTATACAACTGTAAATAGGGGACTTATAAGGACACTAGATGAGACTTCTAATAGTAGGACTGTTGATAAAGACCAGGCATGTAAACTTTATAATTAATTTTTATCATTTTATTTAATATCATTTATATTATTAGCAAGTCTTGCGATTGAACAATGAACGTTTCATGATACCAGAAATATTATTTCACCCGAGTGATATTGGAATACAACAAATGGGCATACCTGAAGCAATTGTTTTTAGTATCAATTTATGTCCTAAAGAAACTAGACCTCATCTATTCAACAATATCATTGTTACTGGTGGTAATGGGTGTTTTCCTGGTATGCAAGAGCGTCTTACCAAAGAAGTCAGAGCTCTTGCTCCTGACGAGTTTGATGTATCAGTTACTGTTCCTAAAAAGTAATTTAAATAATAAATGTATAAAAAAAAAATTATTTAATGATTCAATTCACTTTTAGTCCTGTTACATATGCTTGGAGTGGAGGAAATCTACTCAGTAAAGATCAAGAGTTTAATTCGCTTGTGGTAACTAAAGAAGAATACGATGAAGAAGGATTTTCTGCATGTCACCGATTTGATATCTAAAGTGTATTGAATAAGACTGATAAATTGTACTAGTAATTGTTGGATATAAATTATTTTGATTTCCATTGAACATATATTTATAATATAATAACTGAGGTTTATGAAAATCTTAGATTATTCATCATATTATTTTTCTTATGAATCTTAGTACTAAGCAAGTAAATCACATTTGTAACCTATGACTGAATCAAATGTAATATACTATTTTCAAGCTCTTTGAAATATACTCTGTAATTTTTTTGTAATAATCATTTATTTTTAAATGTTTTAATAATTTAACTAATTTTTTTGTAAAAATTATGATTAAAAAAATAATTTTAATGCTATCTTATAGTTTGTTCATTTTTTAATGTATATGTGAATATATATACAGATATTATTTCTTTAAATAAAAATTATGTTTGTATAAAATTAACTTTATTTAATATCATAAAGTATAATTATTACTATTAAATTAGTATTTTATTTTGTTTTCACATTTCACATCATATTATTCTATAATCATCAAATCAGCTAATTTGATTATTAGAAAAATATTAAAATATATTTATATAAATTATAATAATTAATAGTTATTGACTTGAATCTTATATCTTGCTACCCAATATTAAGGCTCGTTCTCACGAGTCAAGTTTAGTTGAAAGATTATAGTTAATCAACAAAAGTTTGACCCAGTCAACCTTTTATATTCAAGTAATTAGTTGTCTGCCAATTGCTTTCATGTTAAGACTTGTGTTGACACGTCTGAACTATAAGTAATTTAAATAAAATAACTTTAAGCATTATAGTAGATTCAATTAAAACTTCTGTTCGTTTTCAACCACTGTTACTCGTGCATATGTATTTCAATGTTTTAATTTTTTTAATTTCACACAACTGCTTTCGACATCATTCTCAACTGAACTATAAGTTAAATAAGTATTATAAATCTATGAAAATGAATTGAAGAACATAAACTGATTAAAATCATATTTTATTTGTTGATCAACTATAATCATTCAACTAAACTTGACTCTTGAGAATGCATCTTCATAAATTGGTTTTATAATATTCTAAATAAGTAATTATATATTTTTGTTAACTGGTTAATATTGATTTTATTTTAATTAACAATATTTCTGATAAAAATCACAATTTTATCATACATTTATTTTATTAAAGTTTTCTAGAATATAATTAACCGTATCACGTCTAGGAAAGTACTTTATAACTATAGGTATTCCCATTTTTACGTCCCAGACAAAGATGGATGGATAGAGTAGACAAGGACTTAGAACTTGGAATTGAAAACGGAGTTAAATTGGCTAAGGAAAGAGATCAGTGGAGGCGAGTGGTTGTTGCAGTAATGGGCCTAAATGACTTGTAAAATGTCATAGATAGATAGATAGATAGATAGATAGGTATTCCCACTCTTTTATGATACTGATGTTAATTAATTCATTAATTTTAAAGTAAATACTATTTGAAATATGTATTTTATAAAATAAATGTTGTTTCAGAAACATCAGTATGGAACCCAAACAATCTAGACCTCCATTTTCTTGGACTTTAAGACCAGTTTTGCCGGAGAATATAACAACTAATAGTATTGATACTGTTAATGTATTTGTGGACACTATTACTGATCGGAAATTAATCAGTAATATAATAAAAAGAGTTCAATTAATATATCCAAACAGTCTGACTCATCTAAAGCTAGTTAAAAACCAAACAATCATATTAATGTTAGCCAATAACATGAGTCCAGATCAATGTATAAATACTCTACAAGTTATGAAATTTGACTTCTCTGGTCTATCAGGTCAGCCAAAGGTTGTAGCAGTACCTAAGTCAATTCCTAGAACTTGTAATCAAAATGAACAAGCTCAGAAGCTATGGCCTTGCAAATTTCATCCAGATAAACGATTAGAGTCAATATTGTCAGGAAAAATGTTCAATCTATTACAATTAGCGACTATTGAAAGACACATGAAGATGGCGTTGGAGTGTACCAAAAGGAGTAACAGTGGAGTAGGTGCAGTTATGGTTGATCCAATAAATGATTTAATCATAGCACAGAGTGAAGATTTCAGAATCAAACATCCAATAAAGCATGCAGTAATGTGTGTAATAGATGAGGTAGCCAAGACTCAAGGAGGTGGAGCGTGGAACTCTGAAACCACATCCAGAATATCAAAAATCTCTTCTGCTGACAAAACTGGGCCTTACTTATGCACTGGATATGATTTGTACGTAACAAGAGAACCTTGTGTAATGTGTGCGATGGCTTTGGTACATAGCAGAGTGAAAAGAGTGTTCTTTGGATGTAAATCTATCAATGGATCTGGTGGTTTGGCTGGAAAGGTTAGAATACATCATCTCAAAAATATAAACCATCATTTTGAAGTTTATACTGGTGTTTTGGAAGAAGAATGTAAATTAGCAGCACTGGCTTGTCTTACTAATTGAAATGTCATTTTAAAATGTACTTAATCTAACTTCATAGGTATTTTAATATTTTGCTAGACTTGAATATTATTATATTATATTACATAATAGTGTTATATTACAAATTGCTCAATATTTTTTTAACTTAATTTAATATAAATTCATTAGTTTTTTATTATTTGTTTAAAATAATGATTAATTCTTATATTATAAAAATTATTTTAGTATTATTTAGTAAGTAATAAATAGAAAATACTAAAATAATTGATTTATCAATTGGATAGATATATTTTTTCTTTATTAGGTATATGAAAATGTATAAATTAGTTACTTTCAGAAATAGTCAATAATTAACAAAAATATAAGAAAATAAATTACTGTACAAAAAATTGTTTTCATACTTTTACTTTTGTTAAATAATAAAAATAATATCATAAGTATTAAAAAAAAACACTGCATATAAAATATTGACAACTGTAATATTGTCTTGCACTCTACTTTAAAAATATGTAAAAAAAATTTAATCTGATAAATAATTATATTGCATTGTGATTATTATTTACATATTTAATTTAACAAGTCTAATGAAATATATATTGAATGATAAATTTATTAAAATAATTACTATTTCAATAAAAACATGTTATGAAACTCAAACTAAATAATATATAAAGAAAAGATACATTGTACAAAATAATATATTTTAACTTAACCAACATTAAATATAGGATCGTTTAATTCATGTTAAAAAGAAATACATAAATACTGTTAAAAAAATTCAGAATATTAGTGGTATATAAAAATCTGTTATTTAAGAATACAAATACATAAGCTGATACATTTAGATTATACAATAATCATCTCATAATGATTGATTATGTAATAAATAAATTACTTGAATTTTGTAGATTGTCAGAATTCAACTCAAATGGATTTTCATCGCTGCTATTGGACTCACTGTCATCAGTGCAAGTAGTATTATTTGCTACAGTAGTAAAATTTTGAAATGATCCCGGACAACACTTTTTGATAACCAACTTCAAAACATTTTTTTTACATACAAAAAATATGAAAATAAACACTCCTTGCAATGCATTTCCCACATCTGTGATGACCCACACATAACTTGGAAAATAATCCTCCAATAACCAAGATAAAATTTCTGCCAACCAATTGAGACCCATCACGATAAATAAATTAAAATACAACGTTACCCTGAAACATTTCATGTCGTATAATTATTTAGACAAAGTACCTAATATAATACATAGTTTACTTTTAATTTAGCTAGGTAAGTACTATATATATTTTCTAATTGTGGTTGTATTTAATTAATTACGTAATCCATTTCCTTTCTATACTATTGAATGAAATCTTAAATTGATAACTTTTAACAAACCTTCAAAAGTGGTTTAGTTTATTGATTTTCATTAGATATACGCACCTCTGCTTTTGACGATTCTTATTTATATTATAATTAGGGTTTCTAAAAAACATTTCATTTAATGAACGTCCAGCCATCAACATTGAAATATGAATGAACATTGCCGAGTTGCATATCAATAGAATCATAATCGGTCCATAGAAATATAACATGAGAGCCGAACTCGCTTTAACATGAACAATCAAATATTCTAATTAATTAAATAATATTTTACTTTACATTTAGTTTTATAATTTAATTTTATAAATTTAAACTGAAAGCAATCAAATAAGTAATTACGTATCGAGAAAATAAATCGCAAAAAAAAAGAACGATACTCTTAGGTCGATTGAGATACAGGGAAGGCTGAATGGAATAGCTATATTGGTCTTGTAAACTTGTTACTAATCATAAGTGGATATTAGGGGGGGATTAAGCCCCTCCTTGAACGTAATCAAACCAAACCAGACGTTAAAATAAATTGGATATTTAATATTTATAATTTTTATTTTATTTTGTTGGTATAATCTGGAATATTTACGGACTATCGTTATTGAGGAAAACCATATATTGTAGGTAATAAAGGAAATAAAGGAATAGATTTATACAATTAAGAAAAAAAAAAAAACAATAGCTATTCAATATTTTGTATTTTTATATTCCAATTACCTATATATATTTGGTACCTCAACTAGAATAAAGTAGAAGTAGTTAGTAGGTTACTAACTAGTAGGTACTAACTAGTTAGCCACTAGTTAGTAGGTTGGAGCGCCTAAAAATGACTGTTAACGCTAATGGATAAAACAAAAATGTTAAGACCCCTCCCATGGATATGACCAAATATTCTTCTATGTTACTAATATACAACTACTTACAAAAAAACGATTCCGAGTGAAAAGGCCGAGTGTATCAGTTTATAGAGATGTTTTATACAGTAATAAAACCACATTTTTTTTATATGATAGATTGAACTTTTAATTTTTCACTTCCAAAAAAAAAGGCATTTCAAATTTAGTGATATCAAAGATTTCAAATTTCTATAAACAGCAATAATTTCATTAAAATCTTTCAAATTACGTCAACATTTCATTTTAAAATACTTATAAGACTATATTGCTACATTCCAGTAATTTTTTTTTTTAAGCTCTGAAAATCTTATGAAAAATGTATTAAATTATCAAAACTTAAATATCCAAATGAGAGTCTTATATATGTAGTGGATTCTCTTCATTTTTATCGTTTCGTCAAAATTTAATATTTAAACACCTACAAATTTTTTCTAAATTACAAGTGTTTTTTTTTTTTTTTTTAAAGCTTCTA